GGGGAGGGAGTATGTTGATGTGGGGAGGGAGTATGGTGTGGTTTTGGGGGGGGGGGGGGGGGGAGGGAGTATGGTTGATGGGGGAGGGAGTATGGTTGATGGGACGGTGAGGGAGTTGTATGTTGATGGTGGGGAGGGAGTATGGTGCTGGTGGGGGAGGGAGATATGGTTGATGGTGGGGAGGAGTATGGTTGATGGTGGGGATGGGAGTATGGTTGATAGGTGGGGAGAAGGGGATTATGGTTTGATGAGTGGGGGTGGGAGTATGGTTGGTGCATGAAGAGGGAGTATGGTTGATGGAGAGGGAGTATGGTTGATGGAGAGGGAGTATGGTCATGGTGAGGGAGGGAGTATGGTGATGGTGGGGAGGGAGTATGGTTCATGGTGGGGACGGAGAAGTATGGTTGATGGATGGGGGACCTATCCCGGGAGTATTGTTGATGGTGGGGGAGTCTGGTTGATGGTGGGGAGAGGGAGTATGGTTGATGGTGGGGAGGGGATTAGGGGTGGGATTGATGGTGGGGGTGGGGGAGGAGGTATGGTGTGGTGGGGGAGTATGGTTGATGGTGGTGAGGGAGTAGTAGGGTTGATGTGGGGAGGGATTATGGTGATGGTGGGGGGAGGGAGTATGGTTGATGGAGGAGGAGGAGTATGGTTGATGGAGAGGGAGTATGGTTGATAGAGAGGGGAGTATGGTTCATGGTGGGGAGGAGTATGGTTGATGGTGGGGAGGGGTATGGTTGATGGTGGGGAGGGATTATGGTTGATGGTGGGGAGAGGGAGTATGGTTGATGGAGAGGAGTATGGTTGATGGAGAGGGAGTATGGTTGATGGAGAGGGAGAGTATGGTTGATGGGGTGATAGAGTAGGTTGATGGAGTTTACCTGGATGGAGAGGAGTGTGGTTGATGGAAGAGCGAGGGAGTATGGTTGATGGGAGGAATATGGTTGATGGAAGGGGGAGGGATCGGAGTAGGTTGAGGAGGGGGAGGGAGTTATGGTTGATTGGAGGGGGAGGGCGAGTATTGTGATGGAGAGGGGGTATGGTTGATGGAGAGGGAGTATGGTTGATGGTGGGGGGGGGAGGTCGCGAGTATGGTTGATGGATGTGGGGGGGAGTATGTTGATGGTGGGTGGGGGAGTAATGGTTGATGGTGGGGGAGGGTATGAGTTGATGGTGGTGAGGGAGTAGGTATGGTTTGATGGAGAGGGAGTATGGTTGATGGTGGGGGAGGGAAGTATGGTTGCTGGAGAGGGAGTAAGGTTGATGGAGAGGGGGAGTATGGTTGTGGAGAGGGAGTAGTATGGTGCATTGGGGGAGGGAGTATGTGATGGTGGAGGAGGGAGTATGGTTGATGGTGGGCGGAGGGAAGTATGGTTGATGGTGAGGGGAGGGAGTATGGTGATGGAGGGGGTTTGGTTGATGGTGGGGGAGGAGTATGGTTGATGGGGGAGAGAGTATGGTTGATGGAGAGGGAGTATGTTGATGGAGAGCGAGGGAGTATGGGTTGATGGAGAGCGAGGGAGTATGGTTGATGGTGATGAATATGGTTGATGGATGGGGAGGGAGTAAGGTGGATGGAGGGGAGGAAGTATGGTTGATGGAGGGGGGCAGGGGGTATGGTTGATGGTGGGGAGGGTATGGTTGATGGTGGGGGATGGAGTATGGTTGATGGGGCGAGGATAATTGATGGAGGGGAGGGAGTTGGTTGATGGAGAGAGAGGGGAGTATGGTGATGGAGGAGGAGGGAAGTGTGGTTGATGGGGGAAGGAGTATGTTTGATGGAGAGGGAGGAGGTATGCTTGATGGAGAGGATATGGGTTGATGGAGAGCGAGGGAGTTGGTTGATGGGGAGGGAGTATGGTTTGATGGAGGGGGAGGGTGTATGGTTGATGGAGAGGGATTGATGGAGAGGGAGGGAGTATGGTTGTGGTAAGGGGAGGGACGGGTATGGTTAATGGAGAGGGAGGGAGTAATCAAAATTCAAAGTTTTCTCTATAAGGATTAACAATGTTGAATTTACAGAATTGGTTGTTGTGTGAGTTTCATGTAAGTTAAATAATAATTAACAGAGTGTACCACTAGAACGCCTAGCCAGGGCTAGGCTTTCGGAAAGTCTTAGTTTAATTTTAATTTTAAATATTACAAAATTATGAGTAAGTTGGTATTATGGTAAGTGACTAAATACTAGTTTGCTGTGTGGTTTAGCAATGTGATGCTTTTGTTTTGGACAGTACATAGTTTCAGTATTGGAGTAAAACAGGATTCATTTTTTTAAGATTTAGAATTAATATTTTGTTTATGGTCAAATGAGCGAGTGAGTGTAAGTGTGAACCACCCAGTTGGTATTCGTGTTAGTTAGTTGAGGGGGTGTATCAGGGAGTAAGATGTTTTCTAATGGTAGTTTTGAGGTGATGATGTGTCTTGAGTTCTGGTGTTCTCAGTTAGGGCTGTTCCAGATTTTAGGCCTTTGGGACATACATTGAATTTTTGTAAAGGTTGAGTCGGACAAGGGGAAATGTCGTAGAGATGTTTGTGTCTGGTGTTATGCCTGTGGGTTCTGTCACAACTATCAAGTATGGTTGATGGGGGAGGAAGTATGGTTGGAGGGGAGTATGGTTGATGGTGGGGAGGGAGTATGGTTGATTGGGGGGGAGGAGTAGGGTTGATGGTGGGGGAGGGAGTATGGTTGATGGAGGGGGAGGGAGTTATGGTTGATGGAAGCGGGAGGGAGTATGGTTGATGGAGGGGGAGGGAGTATGGTTGATGGTGGGGGAGGGAGATGGTTGATGTTGGGGAGGGAGTATGGTTGATGGTGGGGTGGGAGTATGGTTGATGGAGGGGGAGGGAGTATGGTTGATGGTGGGGGGGAGGGAGTATGGTTGTGGAGGGGGAGGAGTATGGTTGATGGAGGGGGAGGGAGTATGGTTGATGGTGGGGGAGGAGTATGGTTGATTGAGGGGGAGGGAGTATGGTTGATGGTGGGGGAGGGGAAGTAAGTTAATGGAGGGGGAGGATGAGCACGAGTTAAGGTAGGGGGTGGGTGGGAGCAAGGTTGACTGGGGAGGGAGGGGGTGGGAAGGGAGTTAGGTTGAGGGGGGGGTGGGTGGGGCGTGAGCTAGGGTTGAGGGAGGGAGGGGGTGTGTGGGGGGGCTAGGTTGAGGAGGAGGGGGTGTGTGGGAGCAAGGTTGAGGGGAGGGAGGAGGTGGGAGGTGAGCAGGTTGACGGGAGGGAGGGGGAGGGAGGGAGTAGGTTGAGTGTGGAGGGAGGGGGTGGGTGGGAGCAAGATCAGGGAGGGAGGAGGCTGGGAGGGAGAGTTAGGTTGAGGGAGGGAGGGGGTGGGGAGGGAGCCAGGTTGATGGAGGGAGGGGTCACAGTGGGAGGAACTAGGTTGAGGGAGGAGGGGGTGGGGGGTGGCGAGGGAGCTAGGTTGGAGGGAGGAGGGGGTGGTGGGGGCAAGGTTGAGGGGAGGGGGGAGCAAGGTGAAAGGAGGAGGGAGCAAGGTTGAGGGATGGGAGGGAGGAGAGGGGGGGGAGGAGCAAGGTATACATAGGTATCCACAGTCAGTGTTCAGGTATCAAGTCTCAGTTTCACTGTCGGTAGTCAGCGGAGGATATATACAGTGTATTGCCACCTTCAACACCATCAATGACGCACTACTGCAACTCACAGCCATCACTGCCGAACGGCACTGACTGCCACCATCCACAGCCATCACTGACGCACTATGCCACCATCCACAGGCCATCACTGACGCTACTACTGCCACCATCACACAGCCATCACTGACCCACTACTGCCTCCATCCACCGCATCCACTGAGGCATACTGCCTCCATCCACAGCCATCACTGAGGCACTACTGCCACCATCCACAGCCATCACTGACCCACTACTGCCACCATCCACAGCCATCACTGACCCACTACTGCCACCATCCACAGCCATCACTGACCCACTACTGCCACCATCCACAGCCATCACTGACGTACTACTGCCACCATCCACAAGCCATCACTGACGTAACTACTGCCACCATCCACAGCCTATCACTGACGACCTACTGGCCACCATCCACGCCATCACTGACCCACTACTGCCACATCATCCAGCCATCATGACCACTATGCCACCATCCACAGCCATCACTGACCCACTTACTGCCACCATCCACAGCCATCACTGACGTACTACTGCCACCATCCACAGCCATCACTGACGCACTACTACCACCATCCACAGCCATCACTGACCCACTACTGCCACCATCCAACAGCCATCATGGACCCCAGTGCTGCACCATCCACAGCCATCATGACCCACTACTGCCACCATCAACAGCCATCACTGACCAATACTTCCACCAAACCACAGCCATTCCCTAGACCCACATACTGCCACCATCCTAGCCATCACTGACCCACTACTGCACCATCCACAGCCATCACTGACCCACTACTGCCACCATCCACAGCCATCACTGACGTACTACTGCCACCATCCACAGCCATCACTGACGTACTACTGCCCCATCCATCAGCCATCACTGACCCAATACTGCCCCCCCCCCAACCACAGCCATCACTGACGTACTACTGCACCTCAAGCCATCATGACGTACTACTGCCACCATCCACAGCCATCACTGACCACTACTGCCACCATCCACAGGCACATCACTGACGTACTTACTGCCACCATTCCACAGCCTTCCTGACGTCTACTGCCACATCCATAGCCATCACTGACCCAATATGCCACCATCCCAGCCATCACTGACCCACTACTGCCACCATTCACGCACAAGTCTCCTCTTAAGAGAGCCTACAATATCATTATTTTCGTATAGGCTTCACGTAAAGCAGGTTATGTTGGGTGTGAGTTACACATAAGAGACACCAAGTGACATGGATCAATGGCTGATGCAACTTTATTATCTAGTAACATCATTAATCAAGAAATTTAAGAGCCCCCCCCCCCCCCCCACCCAAGGGTTGCACAGCTTAATATTGCTTCAAGCTGCACACCTTGAAGGTAAATTACAAATTATTATTCAACAGTTGATTAACCGGATTAAAAATATAGACGAATATTATCTTGTAAAAGTTCATCAGTGTTATATCTCAGCTCAGCTTAAAAGCTGGTTATTAATATTAGTGTAACAGTGTATATTGATGTATGATACACAACACCAGCTGTATGGTACACAGCACCAGCTGTATGATACACAACATCTGCTGTATGGTACACGCACTGCTGTAGGTACACAGCACCAGTGTGTATGGTACACAGCAACTGCTGTATGATACATAACATCTGCTGTATGGTACACAGCACCTGCTGTATGATACACAGCACCTGCTGTATGGTACACAGCACCAGCTGTATGGTACACAGCACCTGCTGTATGGTACACAGCACCAGCTGTATGGTACACAGCACCTGCTGTATGGTACACAGCACCTGCTGTATGATACACAGCACCTGCTGTATGGTACACAGCACCAGCTGTATGGTAACACAAGCACCTGCTGTATGATACACAAGCACCTGCTGTATGGTACACAGCACCAGCTGTTGGGTACACAGCACTGCTGTATGAGTACAACAACATCTGCTGTATGGTACACAGGCACTGATGTATGGTACACAGCACCTGCTGTTTGGTACCAGCAGCACCAGCTGTATGGTTACACAGCCACTGCTGTATGGTCCACAGCACCTGCTGTATGGTACACAGCACCTGCTGTATGGTACACAGCACCTGCTGTATGGTACACAGCACCTGCTGTATGGTACACAGCACCTGCTGTATGGTACACCCCAGCACCTTTGCTGTATGGTACACAGCACCTGCTGTATGGTACACGCACGGTGTATGGTACACAGCACCTGCTGTATGGTACACAGCACCTGCTGTATGGTACACACCTTCAACTGTACGCCATATATCAGCTGGAAGGTACATAGCACAGCACCAGCTGGACGAGGCATAACACCAGCTGCCACAAAAATTCCAGCATAATTCTTGATTGGCGTACTGCTTCAGTCAGTGCCTGATCATGTTCTTACACACACACTCACACACCACAACACACCCACACACACACAACCACACACACACACACACACACACACAACACGCCAAAGATATACATTACCCTCCAATCATTTGTTTACATCTGGCTCTGGGTCTTCTTAAGCGGAGTACTAATGCATGTATTCATAGAGATACATAATGACACGTACCTGAATACATGAGTTGTTTTTCTCAGCTTAAAGTCAAGCTATTTATTTATTTTAATGTTTCGCCAACAACACGCAACCAACACACACCACCATCCTTCACCACCACACTCCACCATCATCATCATCATCCTTCACCCCACCACCACACCACCACCACCACCATCATATCAGCACCATCATCCTTTCTCACCCACCACCCCACCATCATGCTTAATCCTTCTCGTCCACACACCATCTTCAACACCACCACCCCACCCCATCATCATCATTTTCATCCTCACCACCCACCACCTCCTCCATCCTTCACCCACCACCACACCACACACATCCTTCACCACCTCCACCACTCCACCACCTTAATCTTCTTCAAGAAGCAGGCACACCAACTACACCTCCTCCGGCACCACCTCCTACACCACAAGCCGTCACCTCACCTCCACCAACCACACCTCCACATACCTCCACACCACCATCAGTCATCCTTCACCACCTCCTCCACACATCCGTCTCCACCACCTCCACCAGCTTCTTCTTCCTGAACTCACCTACTCATCACCCTGCCGTCACCACCTCACTCCACCACCATCCATGCACCTCCTCCACCTCTTATCACCACCACACTCCTACCTACACACGAGCATCTGCAGCACAATACTCTCACACATCCGTCACCTACTACTCCTCATGCAGCATGCTGCAGGACTCATCCTCACTCCTACTCCTGCAGTCACCTCTCCACCCACCTCCTACCACCCTCATCGTCTTCACCTTCACCACCACCACCCCACCACCACCCACCACCATCCTTCACACCACACCACACCATCATCATCATCATCCTTCACCACACCATCATCATCATCCTTCACACCACCACCACCACACACCACACCACACCACACCACAACCACCACACCCACCCACCCACCATCATATCCTTCACACACCACACAATCCTTCACCACCACCACATCAATCATCATCATCCTTCACCACCACCACCACCACATCTTCCCACCACCACACACCAACACCACCACCGTCATCTCATTCCATCCTTCTCCCATCACCACCACCATCCTTCACCACCACCCACCACCATCCTTAACCACCACCACCACACCATCTCCCACCACCACCATCTTCACCTCACCACCATCATCTCATCCTCACCAGCACACCCACCATTCCTTCACACCACCACCATACCCATCATCATCATCTTCACCGCCACCCACCACCACCATCCTTCACCACCACCACCATCATCATCATCTTACCATCTCCACCACCATCCTTCACCACCACCACCACCACCACCAATCATCTTCAGCCTTCACCGCCACCACCACCACATCCTTCACCACCACCACCATCATCATCATCCTTCATCCACCCCACCATCCTCACCACCACCAACCATCACATCAGCCTTCTCCACCACCCCTCCTTCCTTCACCACCTCCACCAATCATCATTCATCTCTTCAACACCACCACCATCATACATTCATCCTTCACACCTACCACCATCCTTCACTCCTCACCACCAGCCTTCATCCACACTCCATCCTTCACTCCAACCACCTCAACATCCAACACCATCTCCAATCATCAGCCTTCTCCTCCTACCAACACCATCACCATCCTTCTCCACACCACCCACCATCCTTCACCACCCACCACCATCCTTCCCACCACAACCACCATCTTCACCACCACCACCACCACCACCATCATCATCCTTCACCATCACACCACCACCATCCTTCACCACCACCACATCTTCATCACCACCACCACCATCCTTCACACCACCACCATCCTTCACCACCACCTCCTTCACCACCACCACCATCCTTCACCACCACCACCATCCTTCACCACACACCACCATCCTCCACCACCACCACCATCTTCACCACCCACCACCATCCTTCACCCCACCACCACCACCATCTTCACCACACCACCACCACATCCTTCACACCACCATCCTTCAACCACCACCACCACCACACCATGCCTTCAACCACCCCACCATCCATTCACACCACCACACCATCCATCACCACCACCACCTCCTTCACCACACCACCACCACCACCACCATCCTTCACCACCACCCACCCCATCCTTCACCACCACCACCACCACCATCCTTCACCACCACCTCCCACCATCCTTCCACACCACCGCAATCCTTCACCACACCCCATCCTTCACCATCCTTCACCACCACCATCCTTCCAACATCTTCACGCCACCACCATCCTTCACCACCACCATCCTTCACCCCAATCCTCACACACCACCATCCTTCACCACCACCTCCCATCCTTCACCACCACCCATCCTTCACACCATCCTTCACCACACCATCCTTCACCACCGCCACCACCATCCTTCAACCACCACCATCCTTATAACCATCCTTCACGACCCCACCATCCTTCACACCACCACCACCATCCTTCACCACCGCCACCAGTCCTTCACCCCAACACCATCCATTCACCACCGGCACCACACAATCCATCACCACCGGCACCCCACCATCCATCACCACCGGCACCACCACCATCCTTCACCACCGGCACCACCACCATCCATCACCACCGGCACCACCACCATCCTTCACCACCGGCACCACCCCATCCATCACCACCGGCCCCACCATCCTTCACCACCACCACCCCTAACTTCTCCACCACCACCATCCAATCCACCACCCCACCCCCACCTCCATCCTACACCCCCCCCACCATCCTTCACCACCACCACCAACCTTCACCACCCCCTCATCTATCACCACCAACACCCAACCTACCCCACCCCACCCCAACCTTCACCACCACCACCACCATCATCACCCCCCTACCACCTCACCCCCCCCCAACCATACACCACCCCCACACCACCATCCTTCACCACCACCACCACCATCCTTACCACCACCACCATTCCTTCACCACCCACACCCTCCTTCACCACCACCACCAACATCATCATCCTCCCCCACACCATCCTTCACACCACACATCCTTCACACCACCACCATCCTTCACCACCACACCACATCTTCACCACCCACCACCATCTTCACCACCACCACCATCCTTCACCACCACCACCACCTTCACCACCACCACCACATCCTTCACCAACACCACCATCCTTCACCACCCCACCACCATCCTTCACCTCCACCACCACCATCCTTCACCACCACCTCCTTCACCGCCACCACCCACCATCCTTCACCACCACCTCCATCCTTCACACCAACACACCATCCTTCACCACCACACCACCATCCTTCTCCACCACATCCTTCACACCACCACCATCCTTCACCACCCACCACCTCCTTCACCACCACCATCCTTCACCACCACCACCATCCTTCACCACCACCACCCACCATTCTTCACCACCACCACCACCATCTTCACCACCCATCCTTCACCACCACCACTCACCACCCACACCCACCACCACCACCACCATCCTTCACCACCACCACCATCTTCACCATACTTCAACACACCTCCCATTCACCACCACCCCATCCTTCACAATCACACCTCCTTCACCTCCACCACCACATCCTTCACCACCAGCACACCATCCTTCACACCCCACCATCTTCAACCACACCACCACCACCCAATCCCTATCCCCCCACCACCACCATCCTTCACCACCACCACACCATCCTTTCACCATCCTTCAACCACCACACCACCATCCTTCACCACCACCACCATCTTCACAGGCACCACC